AATGTGCAACTGCTTTAAATAAAATGATGAGTATTTGCTTTTTTGAAAATCATTATAAAACATTTTTGTCTTATAATTAGTTCTTTTATCGATATCCGACGTTATTATGATAAAAGTAAAATTACACCACTGAGAAGAAATGTCATCCATCCGGGAAGTGGCAAAGGAGTCTAAATTATTTTCACTTTTGAACTTGAGAGTAAGATAAACCTAATTTCAAAATTTTATACAAATCGGAGCACAGTAAAAAATTCAGACCCAAAACGCTCCATTGACATGAGTAAATATTACGTATCCGATGGCAAAAATATAAAAATGCTAACGTTTGTATGTGAAAAAGAAAAAAGCTGTTTTTAGGGTTTTCCCGGCAATTATTCGATTTTTTCTCGCCGTAAGAACCATCGTTGGACTTCAACGAAACATTTTAAAAAAAGAATTGGCCGAATTGGTCCAGGCATTGTTGAGTTACGCGCTTACCAACATATTTTGCGATTCATTTCTATATTATAGATTAAATTTTTGACAATAAGTGTAATGACATTAAATCAAAACGTGCTAAAATTTGCTTATTTATATAAAAAGTAGGTAATAATTATTTAAAACGTTAAGCGCCTTTGTTAATTTGGCGAGTCCCGAAATTAGCTTTTAGGGGCGATTTCTTAGCATAATGCACTTTAACCTGAAGCAAGCTCTTGTTCAAGGTTGCGCGCAAAAAAAGGAAGAAGTTCGTTGAACTCAATAATTGTTCATTACTTAAAATTGTATTTAATTTAAGATTTTTGTATATCATATTCTTAAGTTAGTTGAAATGAATATTTGAAGCATATACATTTGTATATTACCTATAACTTTGATTTATCTTTGATAATTGGAAGAAAAAAATCGTACCTACTTTATGTAAAAAAGTATTGGAGATGGTGATGAAGACTGTCAAAAGGTGCACCGATTCAACAGCAAATATATATATTTATATATATATATATATATATATATATATACATATACATCGCACACCCACCCCCTCTATCCTATCTACCCTTTCCTATCCACCCCGATACAATTCCTTTGTATTCGAGATGGGTTCCGTACCACCCTCCGAGTATTGTTTTCACAAGTCGAGTCGAGTCGAGTCTTTCTCGTCTTTCTACTAGTCTTTCCAGTCCGATCACGTATTTGCACACATCACATGACTTTTGTGAAGCAAAATGATCAATTTTTGCCCCCGTCCTCATCTACACGGTTTTAACACCTTGGAAGAAAAGATATACGAGGATAAATGGATGCATGTATGGATATATATATATATATATATACTAGCTGACCCGGCAAACGTTGTTTTGCTAAGTAAGGTGTATTCTAAACAATTTCTAGAGAATCAAAAAAATTAATACTTTAAGTGTATAAGGATGTGTTGTTTGAATGCTATAAACACCATTAGTTTGTCTATATTTATCTATAGAAAACTTGGTATAATCAAATCCAAGTCATTTTTGGTCTTTCGACTTATTGATTACGTTTCAAGTTTTTCAGATTTTTTTGATTCAGGATTTTGCGTATAATTGTAAATAATACAACTGAGCTTATACAAAATTTTCAAATTTCTGCTAGTAGAGAGGAGAGATAGAAAATGAATTGAGTATTTCTTTTTTGACCTGCTTTTTGAAAAGTTTCAAGTAACATTCAATGAATTCAAGTAAATTCAATAAAAAGTATATATGTAGAGCAGTAGCGAAGATGCAATTTGACTTTGAGAAAATATAAACTATATTGCGAAAACCAAAACAATTATATCACAATAAACAGCATATTTAAAACGAACAATTATCTGACTACGTTCAGTAAAACTGCCAGTTACTTCAAAATTGTAGAAGTGTGCTTTTTTGCCGTCTTTCAAAAATTTGTTATCTAGACTTTTTTACCCCATAGACGGGGTAACTTGGAACGGTCAGGTGGCTAACAGGTTTAATGTCTTATTTTAATTTTAAAGGTATTTTACAAAATAATTACACTTTTAACTAATGCTAAAAAAACTACCAACGGAAGAAAATACTTTTATTATGAATTTTCAAAGATTACCGTTTATGATTACCGTTTATGGTTAATCAAAGATTTCGTCCATTTGATCGATACCAAATTTAGGTTCTGAATTTAAATAAGATAAATAAAAAATAATATAACCTAGAAAATGTTTTATAAATACCAATGAGTATATAATTATACAAATGAGATCTTTCAGAGCACCGTGTTTGATAAAAATATGCCAAAAAGTGCATTTTCATATTAACATATCAAAAAAGTTTATATTTTGAGTTTCTAGTAACACTTGCGGCCCGTTTACTAACGTTTTTGTATATAAATAAAACTACAAACAGAGCTACTTACTACAATTTAATCATAATTAAATAATATTCGCGTAAAACATCCTATTAAACGTAATTGAACATCATCTGTCAAAAGCGTTTGACATTTCACGAAATTGCCACCGTCCTTTGTTTTATTTAAATTACGCTTCTACAAAAAATTTCAAATTAAAAATGTAAAGTTTCTACGCGGATTTAAAATAATTTCTCACCTTTTGGACTTTCTCTGGATTGACACGAATTTTTCAAGACTGACTGGCCAAATCGATTCAGCCGTTTTCGAGTTTTATTCGGACATTTGGAAGAGAGCTCCATTTATATATATATATATATAAATTATATATTTATATATATATATATATATCCTTGTATTTATCCTATATATATATATATATATATATATATATATATATATATTTGGGGTGGTCCTTAATATGGACATTTTCGAATTTCCTTGCTCCCAAGGGCTCAAATGGTTCCAAATTGATAAAAAACAATTCTCCGGAAGTTTTAGTCCTTAATATTAACTTTTAGATAGTGCGCAATTCATTCAAACTTCGTATGGAAATACCATGGAAAATATTTTGAAAATTTAAAAAAAAATTAGGTATAGCTTAGCGACAAATGAATTAAAAGTAAAAATTCGTGTCATTTTTTATTGAAAATTCGACGCTCTGCAAAATTTTTGAAAATTTTTCCATCGTGACACACATACATATATATAGTGTAAAAAAAGTAATTATCATATTTATCCTGGTCGTTTCGACACTACATGTGTATCATTTATTTGTGTTTCGATTTACTTCGTCCTACATATTTATATTATATGGTCGGATAGTGGTAAAGTTAACTTTATGAGGTCTAAGGGGGCGCATTAGAGGGTTGGTTTGGCTCTAAGCAACTCTCGGCAAAACTAATATTACTCTAAGTAGCCAAAAAGTTGAAGAATATATTCTTCAAGTGCCCCCCGGTCGCCCTCGTGCACTGCGCTAAAACTTTTAATGTGTTTCGGACTTATAGAGAAAGAGGAGGATATATGTATAAATATATATATATATATATATATATATATATATATGTATATATATATACTAGATGACACGACAGACGTTGCACTGTACCCATGTCTACATTGTTTTAATATAATATACTAATATTCACCTAATATACTAATATTTACCAAAAAATAATTATTGTTTTTTTAAATTACTCTTCACGCCAAAATGCATATACATTTATAATATGAGCGATGTTAAATGTAGAACTGCTTTAAATAAAATGTTGAGTCTCAATTCCCACACTATTTTGGAAATTTAAGTCTTTTAATCGGTATAACATAACCATAACCATAACATAACCCTGGTACCTTGTGTTGGATTAAATTAATTTATTTTTTTATTATTTAAGATATCCAAAATTGCATCTCAAACTTCTCCTAATTGATATCGTGAGGGTCGAATTGTATGTATTCATCTTTACTTTCCCATTTGTTGTTATAAAGTAAATATTTTACGAATTTTAAAAATATTGTGCAAAGATTAGTAAAAGATGCAAAGAAATTATATATTGAAAAAAAACTATTTTGAAAATTTAATATCCGTATCTTGTGTTGGAGCCCCCTAAGGCGTGCGCTCGTATTTTTCGCATGCATCGCATTAAAGGTAGGTCCGGCTCTGATTAATACTTAATTTCATATTTCAAGTAAATTAATTTGTCATATCCTGTTCATATGTATATCATTCAATCTGCCATACATATACTGTATTTTATATTATTTCGATTTCTGGCACATCTCAGCTGCTCTTTGGCAACAATAATGTACACATCTTTTTACTCATTCATAATCATCAATTTATTGTACATATTCTAATATTGTCCAGGTTCATTAGTAAATTGAAATTTTTGGCAGATAATAGTTTTCATTTATTTTCAATGCAAACAATGACATGTCGTTTTTTGCAATTTTTTTCCATTTATTTCTACAATATTGCACATACATCCCAGTAATTTAAAATCACATACATCCTAGAAAATTTCCTTAACAAACTTCAGAAAGATTTATCAAAATCCAAATAATCGTTTAGGAGGAGTATACAGTGAGTGCTTGTAATTTAATATGAACTTTATATAATAGCAATAAAGCTCAAATTGGTTCTACGTTTTAGTTAGAAAACGTTTGTATGAGAAAAAAATAAGGGCTGTTTTTAGGGTTTTCCCGGCAATTATTCGATTTTTTCTCGCCGTAAGAACCGTCCTTGGACATCAACGAACATTTTAAAAAAAGAATTGGCCAAATTGGTCTGGGCGTTGTTGAGTCATGCGCTTACCAACACATTTTGCTATTCATTTTTATATATAAGATATATATACTGGCTGACCCGACGTAAGTCATGTACTTAGTAAAATGTTGTTTTCTACATCCAGTAGAGTCCACTTTCAATCACTGTTGGCACTCTTTAGATACTTGAAATTATCTCTACTAATAATGATCCTAATAGCTTTTATTGCATGTAGAGCATCTCATTTTTCTCGTCAGTAGAGTCCTTGTCCTCCTAATCCCTATAGTTGAATTTTATTCTGCAAATGTACTTGCACGTCACCTTATACCTATTCTCGTAATATCATGTGATTTGCAATTACAAGACATGCTACTGGGTCTCCTCCGACCGACTGACGTTTCGTATCGATCATCTGGGTCATCATCAGATGTGTAGTATAGTGTATCGTCGTCTTCGTCGTCAATGCATCTGTAATGTGTATTTTCTCTCTGTTGTAATGTATTATGGATGTATTATTCGCATAAGTTGACGTGTTTCGCATCACAACGACGACGACGACGGCATGCGGTTGAGGCGGTTGTGGCAACATGTGTTTTCTTTCGATCAACGACGAAGGCAAGGAAGGCGAAGCCAGAGTGGGATGATGATGGGTTGAAAATAGGACGAGGGCGGTGCGAGGTGACTTTTTACCAGAAAAATGTATAAATATGGTACATTTGGTGTGTGACTAGTTGTGAATCAGAGACGCGGCCTTTAAATAAGACCGACCTAGAAAGATAAAGCAAATGAGCGATTGACGAGATAATTAAATATCAACGAGGAATTAGAATACAACACTAAGGACGAGCAAATTAAATTGCGAGATGAGTTTTCTCAATCGCGCGTCGGTAAGCCAGTTGTATTTGGCTTACTCGTCAGTAGAGTTCTTTGTTTCTGTACTGGCTCCTTAGTAGTCATTTCACTCTTTTTTGTAATTGCTTGTCAGTAGAGTTTCTTCTTAAAGCTCAATATAGTTCCTTTTTGAAATGTATGCGTCAGTAGAGTCCTTTTTTATTAGATTCAGTTTTTAATGTGTTAGTAGAGTCTTTTTCATACGCGTCAGTAGTCATTATTCTGTAGGCAAATTGAATCTCATCATGGAAATTAAAATAGCACTATATTTAGTAAGCGAGTTAAGTAGCACCCTGAAAGTGAAAGAAAAACTCTACTGACGAGAAACGTAAACTAGTGGGGCGCATGGCATCGTGCCTTAAGGCAAATTGCTGGAACTTCCCGTACCAAAAATTTTTTTTTTTGAAAAGATTAACATTTTTGAAAAAAATTTACTCTGAAAAAAAATAGAATTTTGAGGAACTATATAAATTTTTGACAAAAACTTACATTTTGTTGAAAAATTTATTTTGAAATATTTTGGAAATTATGAACTTTTTTTCAAAGCAATCGTACTGCTTTAATGCATAGAGACTAAATATCGAAGCGCGTAAGCGCCGCGTCGGTGTCTAAAGCATAAGCATTGGTACGGAACCCATAGGAATGTTAACAAAATGTATACTTATTGTTAAAATCTCTGATATTGTTAAAATCTCTGAAAAATATCTGATAATTTGATGTGCATATGTCTAATGTCTAATGATTATTGTTGACCGCCAAATATTATTTTTTTTTTACTTTTTTTACTAGATCTCCGAAACCGCTAGACCTATTTTCATGAAAATTTGATCAAATCTTCATCTTGATAATGCAAGTAAAATGTTTTTGAATTATTCAAACCGGACGATCCGTTCTCTTAAAAACTGAGTTACCGTTTGTGGCCCTTTTTGCCCCATATCTTCGGAACGGACCTGCCTTTGACAAAAACTAATCAGCACGTCTCCTTATCAATACGAATCGAATGTTTTTTGAATTATTCAAATTGCTTCATCCCGGTTCCCGAAATCGTCGACGAAAATTTGTATCTGAACACACACAAATGCACGCACACACATACACACACATACATCAATTTTCTCTAAGGTATGCCAATATATTCAGAAACCTTTGAAACGTAAAGATATATAAAAATTTTCATTTTCGATTTTTGTGCGATTACTATAACTTACCCTACGGAAAGTTAATTATAAATAAATCAATTTATCATCTCCAGAACATTAACAATCGTCATTTCATTTCGAATCAAATTTCAAAAAAAAAAAAAAATAGTTGCCAAATTTCCACAAAATTGAAAAAGTGCCCCCGCATAGTCACAGTCTAAACGCATTTGCAAATAATTCTGTGCGACATTTTCACTTATACTGTGCTTAGCTTGGCGGCATTTTCACATTTTTCAATAATTTTCACAAAATTGAAAAAGTGCCCCAGTACATAAACAGTCTAAACGCACTTGGGTAAACATTTGTACCAGAGTGGCGCTTAGACTGTGCTTAGCTTGGGTGATTTTTTGAATTTTTAATCCAAAATTACAAAAAAAAATTTTTGAAAAAAAAATTAGAAACAAAAAATTTTTTTTTCCAAAATCAATTATTTTGTTGAAACAAGCAGAAAGTTCTTTAGGTAATTTAAATCGGACACTTAGTTCTCTCAAAAACTGCCATTTTTTTAACATTTAGCTCTGTATTTCCGGAACCGCTGGGCCAACCTTTGCCAAAAACTAACCAGCTCATCTCCCTATCAATAGGAATCGAATGTTTTTTAAACCATTCAAATCGGTTGATCCGTTCCCTCAAAAACTCGCTTTCTATTTTTTGCACTCTTTGCTCCATATCTCCGTAACGGCTGGACCTGCCTTTGCCAAAAACTAATCAGCACATCTCCCTATCAATAGGAATCGAATGTTTTTTAAACCATTCAAATCGGTTGATCCGTGCGCCCGAAAACGTGGACGAAAAAAAGCGGACATACAAAACACACACACACACACACACACACACATCCATTTTTTCTGAAGTATGCCAAAATGTTCAAAAACCTTCAAAACGTCGAGAAATGTAAAAATTTTTGATTTCGATTTTTGGACGATTACTATAACTTACCCTACGGGAAGTTAATAAAGTCATAAAAGAGCAACCTAAAATCAAACATATAAAAAAGATGAATATACCAACGAGTGGCAAGGACTTTATATGGGTTAAAATGAATAAATTAACAATATAGAATATTATAAAAAAACTTAAACTCAAAAATAAAAAAATTCTAACAAACTTCTTGAGTTGCTAAATAAACTGAAAAATTGCTCCATATGAAACACTCTGTTCATTTACGGATTAGAGACATGGGTTCTTACTGATAAATTAAATTTCGATACCTTGACCTTAGCCTTAATCTATCTATTAAAAAAATAATATAAATTGTCAACAAATTTATTGAAATTCCATCTAGAAGTTATAATAGACACTACAGACGAACTTATTATCGAGTGAAATAAATAGTAACTAAAAACTAGTGGTGTTTGGCATCGTGCGTTAAGGCAAATTGCTGGAACTTTCCGTACCACAATTAAATATTCGAAGGAATAAATCAGTAATCAATAAAAATTGATCAATGATTTACAACAATTGTTTTATGCATTTTTAAATAGATGATTATAATCACTATGTATTTTATCGTTCATAAAATATACACAGTCGATCTTATCGCTCAAAACACTTAAGAATGTGTACATTGCCTTACCAAAAATTTCATCAATTCTTCATTCTGTCAATACAAGTGAAATGTTTTTTGAACCATTCAAATCGGGTACTATATTCTGTCAAAAACTGAATAACCGTTTTTGGAACTTTTTGCCCCATATCTCCGAAACGGCTAAATCTGTCTTTATCAAAACCTAATCAGCACGTCTTCCTATCAATAAAAACCGAATGTTTTTTGAATTATTTAAATCGGTTAATTTGTGCGCCCGAAATCGTGGACAAAAATTGTATCCAAACATACATCAATTTTTCCAAGGTATGCCAAAATGTTCAGAAACCTCTGAAATGTAAAGATATATGAAAAATTTCATTTTAGTTTTTTTTGCGATTACTATAACTTGAAGAAAGTTAATGAAAAATACGAAAACTTGAGAAAGTTAATGAAAAATACGAAAAATTTACTACAAAATTAGTTGAAAATGAAAGAGTCTACAAACAAGCTAATTAAATAACAATTTAGGAATCAAAATGTAGACTCGACTGAAAAACAAGTTGAATCTCAATATCGTAAGAAAAGGATTGTACTGACGAGCAAACTAAATATTGACCAAGAAGATAAAAAGAGTCACTATCAAGAAAACAATCTATTTATTGAAAAATAAAAACGAGTGTCAACAAATTTCATTGGAAATCCATCTAAAAATTATAAGTAGACTCTTCTGACGAGCAATCCATATTATGTCTCTATTAGCTCTATTACTAAGCGAAATAAATAGTTACTTAAACATTAAGAAAGCACTCTACTGAAGAGAAAACTTCTTGACTTGCTAAAGAAATTGATAAATTCCTTCATATAATCATTTACGGATTAGAAATATGGACTCTGAAGAAAGTCTCTGAGATGACAAATTAAGAAGGAAAATTACCGTCGTCTAAAGAAACTGCACTTTTAAAGAAAAATGCATATTGCACGATGTCATTGAAAGAAAATAGAAGAACTGGAAGGACTATAAAAAATAAAAATGCTGAAGACTTATTTTTGAAAAATGAGCACATAGGACATGGTAGCATTTAAAAGAAAAACAAGGAAAAAATGTAGTGCTAAAATGTGGTAATCAAAATTTGGCGAATATTTAAAGACAATCCTTGTTTAATCTATTTAGGCACAACGGATTTTATTTACTTCAGTACGTAATTTAACACGTTAATCGCTTCCATATCAGAAAAAAATTTACATGGGACATGGTAACAGTATTACACAATTTTAAATAAATAATAATATAAATAATGCATCAAAAAGATAAAAGTCCAAAAATTCTTGGAGAAACACTATTTTTATGTCACATATATATGACTGGCATGGCTGTATATTAATTTTTTTTTCCGACAAGCCAAGAAATTTGGAGGTCAATTTTTCAGACATATATATATATATATATTATATATGTAACATATATATATATATATATATATATATATATATATATTATATATATATATATACATATATATATACATATATTTAATATATATATTATATATTATATATTGTTATAATTTTATTTTTGTTAATAAACCTTTAATGTTTTATTTTTAAATTGATATGTACAAAAAAAATACAAAAAAATACAATAAATTGAATATAAAATGAGGAACGTGGCTAATGTAGAACTTATAGTCAAACACATATGACTGACATGGCGATTAACGACTTAAAATCAGTTTCAATTTGCCGAAGCAATGGCAAGATCCAAGATAAAGCTAATAATGTAAAGTTCTTCCACAATAAATCAACCAATTTATTAATTTTCCATTCGAGCTAATTACCAATACAATACAATAGTATTTATAAATTTCCCAGTTCCTTTCCGAATCAAAAGTTTACTTTCCGTCTCCCGTGTCGTTTATTTTATTTCTTTCCTTTTGCGGATAAATAGGTGATTACGTTTCATTCACACAATTCACATACACACCAGGGGCAGGAGGAGCAGGAGGTTCAAGGAAGGAATCAAACAACTTTTGGCTTTTCATCGGCGAAAAACGTTTTCGCAGAAACGACTCCTTGATTGAATACCGACGACGAAAAAATTTACTTTTGTCGAACTGGATAAAAGACTCAGGACCGAAATGGGTAAAAGACTCACAAAAAGTTAATACAAAACTAATTAATTTAAATTTAATTATCATTTTATGACAACCCTACAGCAACTTGGTATACTGACAAATCACTCACAAATTAATATATTGTTTTATTATTAATTTGACAG